AGTACTGCTGTCACATATGGGCTGGTGCTGCAAAATGTCACCCGGTAGCATTGGACTTAGTGGAGAGACGTTCTAAAAGGCTCATTGGTGACCTTGATTTGGTTGAAACTAATCTTGTCAGCCTCGAGCACAGGCGCAGAGTAGCCAGTCTCTCAGTATTCTATAGGATGCATTTCGGTGAGTGTGCACAGGAATACACGCTTTAACTCCTCTCTCTTCTTTCCACCATCGGACAACCAGGCGGTCGGCGGGTCGTCATCCCTTTGTTGTCGATATTCCATGCATTAGAACCAAACGGTTTGCTTCGTCTTTTGTAATGCGTACAGCAAAAGAGTGGAATAATTTTCCGGCGTTCATCTTTCCGTCCGAATACAATCTGGGCGTCTTCAAGGTAAGAGTGAATAGGCTTTTATTACGATAAGACAGTGTGATTTACCATATAAGGCTACATCACCACGTACCACCAGGTGGGATTGTGGTCAATTACTGGCTTATAATAAGTAAAAGAAATATATACTTAGTATTTTATCATGTTCAATACGTTGAGAATGGGATATAGCGTTAGTGGTAAATATTTATTGCAAAGATATCCATGAGCTAATTGATGTGACAGCATCCTCTCAATGTCGTAGAAAGCCAATTACTAAGATATTCAAAGCTTCTTATTGTTAATTTAGTATCTAGTTTCCTTTCATACGAAGTACGTATAACTACGGATATACACAGCTATTACAGCTTATCAACAGTCCACTGTTGAACATCACAGATTGCTTCACAGGGGGGATATTTGCCATAGTTGCCACGCTTGGCAGGCAGTGTGACAACCGCAGTTTTTTAAATATTTATCAGGAAGGTAATGCTACCCATTTCCTAGTTCATTTCACTCTGTCGCTTCTCACGTCACCAACCAGATTATTTGAGGTTGTAGGTTTTCTTACACTATACTTACACTATATACCATAAAATAAGCAAAGAATGAACAATGCACAAAATACTCAAAACTGGATTATTTTAGACAGTAGAAAAGAAATATAAGCTGTTATTTACTCGTTAGCTGCATTCCATGTATTCACTTCCAGTGGATCTGATCTGGTGATAGACCCGGATGCTGACCCCGGTAACGTGTATAAAAGCTTATTTTGAAATTGATTATATTACTTTACAACTGTTATTATTATTAATACTTTATGAAACATCTGAAGGAATACCTTCAACTGCTTCCATCACGTTTTAATTTATGTTGTTGTCATATTTGTGGACACTTTCAACACTTTTATTCGTATACTTTAACCGACTTCAAATAAAGGAGGAAGTGCTCAATTCGACTGTTTTTTTACGTGTGTTACTTCAGAACTATTTTCAAGCTGAACCAATTTTGATGTTTCTTTTTTTTTGTAAATTGATGCTTCTCATGTGACTCCATAAATTTGACCCGATCTGACCAGTAGTTTTTGAGTTATTCTCATTTAATTGACTTCGAGTGCCTTGATGATTTTCTCATTTTACTTATGTTTAATTCGGTTGTATAAATTTTATAATTTTACCACTTGTTATAAAGCTAAAACAACAATTTTACAATCTGTCCAATGGGAAGATACTACTGCAGCCAAAGACACCTTCAGCCAACTTCGAACACAGATAACACTGCTGTGTTTCGTATGGTGAGTGTAGAGAACCGGAGACCCTTTTTACTGGAAAGGGGGCATTTCATCTTAGTTCTCACCAAGCGACAACGCATCTGCACTTTGATTCTTTATTGAGGATAGATGTAGATGCATATGGGCCATAAAAAGCACTTACCATCAGGTAGAATGTATGCTCGTTTATCGCCTTATCCTATAAAAAAAAACTACGGATGCGTTGTCACCTCTGAGGACTAAGATACAATATCTCACTGCCTATAATTATACCGGCCTTTACACCCTTTAGCTGGCAAACACAGCAGTGCAAACACTGTTGTAATCAGAAAAAGGTAAGAAGGTTGTACTAACCCAAAAAGACGCCTATGCAGAAAAGTAGTCATTCAACTAGTTTGTAGTCATTGACTTGTCGTTATAATACAAGACAGATTCATCCATTGATTAATAATACTGTCTTTATTTGTTAACGGTCTTGTAATAGTTGAATATCGATTATTTAAATTACTTTTTAAATTATACTTACTAACCTAATGCCCAATACCAAAACAAATATTTTATTTTTTTTTATATGAGAAGGGGCAAACGAGCATGCAGCTCACCTGATGGTAAGTGACTACCGCCTCCCATGAACAACTGCAACAATAGGGGAATTGCAGATGCGTTGCCATCCTTTTAAAAAAGAGTAGGCTCTTTCTTGAAGGTCTCTAAGTCGTATCGGTCGAAAAAGTCGTCGATCCCACAAGTTAGTTGTGCGAGGAAGAAAACTTCTTGTAAATCGCACAGTGGCGTACCAACAATCATCCAGATGGTATAATGGTATTGTCAGTTTTAAAACCAAAATCTTATGCCAAAAAGCAGTACGTGCAGCACTGCTTTTTGGCTGCAAAAAAAAGTAAGAAGGTGGTACCAACCCAGATTAACTCCCAGAGAGAAAAGGAATCCAGCAACTAGTTTGTAGCCATTAACTTGCCGTTATAATGCAAGAGAGATTTATACATTGTTTAAAGATGACGCAATTATTGATATGATCTTTGATTATCGATTATTCATATCCATGGTCATTTATTTAGAAGAGAGAGAGTGAGCAAATTTCTTAAATAGACGTCAAGTTTTTTGAATAACGCCATTAATCACTCATATTCAGAACACAATTGACCTATATGCGTATAATAGTGATTTTTCAAATTCACAATAAATTGGCCACATAATGACGCTGTCCGTATCCGCAAATTAAATCTTGTTGTCAAATCATTGCACGTACATGAATACCACTAAATATAGTTATAGCAATCAGTATTTTTAATGTTGCTTGCCAAATTGAGCAAAGAGGTACACTTAGGAAATCACCTGGATTGTCTGGCAGTCTTTTAATTACTTTCCTTTGGATATGTTTCATGTAATCATCATCATCGTTACAGCCCATCACAAGTCCATTGAACAAAGTATCAACTAAAAAGCCACAAAACACGGTCCTAAACTACCAGCATCCATCAGCCTCCTGCGTCTATCACCTGGTCGTCACTAGTGGTCTCTTATTACTAAACTTAAACTTCATTATGATCTAGCGAGTTACACTTGATGAGAGGTATTTCATGTCGTTATAATAAAAAAATCACGTAGATTAAAAAATAAGGTATCAGGTATGTTATAATGTATCTAAAATATTCATTCATATACACTTTGAGTGACATCTGTTGTCACGGTTTGTAAACTCTACTACATTATCTATGTCATGTCTATTAAAAAAATAGTTCTCTTTGAAATCACAACGCGGGCAACGCGGTCGTTTTATTAGAGGTTATAGGCCCAGGTTATCATTTAATTCTCGCAGATAAAACTTGCAAATTAGTGCTGCATAAGTTTAAGCAGACTGAGAATAAACTGTGCTGGTGAAAATGAGTACGAACTACGTTGTGAGTGTGCCTTAGTTGAAGGGCCGTGAGAACTACGCTAAGTGGGCTTTTGCAGCGGAGAATTTTCTTGCGCTGGAAGGGACTTCTGATTGCATCTTAGAAACCAAGCCAGAACAAGCTGCAGCAGATGCGAAAACCAGAACAAAATTGATGCTATCGATAGATTCGTTGATCTATGTACATATCAAGGAAGAGTCAAGAGTACAAAGGAGTTATGGGGTAAGCTCAAACAATTGTTCGATGACTCGGGATTTACTAGGTGAATCAGTTTGTTGAGAACCTTAATCTCAATCCGTCTGGAGAATTGTACATCTATGACATCGTATGTAACGCAGATTATAGAAACAAGTCAAAAATTAAGTGGAACAGGCTTTAATATCAATGACGAGTGGGTCGGATCCTTGCTTTTGGCCGGATTATCCGAAAAATATTCCCCCATGATTATGGCGATAGAACAGAAGGAATGAAAATAACAGCCGACGCCATTAAAACAAAGCCAATGGACTTAGAGGAAGACAGTGGCGACGTTAGCGGAGCATTTACGAGTTTTCGCAAAAATAAGATTGGCAGCACTGGTGGAACCAAAGACAATGGACATATGTCAAAGTCAAAACAGAAATTACCAAAAAATAATAAAATGTTACAGATGTAAGCAAACCGGCCATTATCGTAATCAGTGCACGAATTTTGATAAGGATACATCAAATACTAGAACATTTGAACGCAAAAAAACGAATGCCTTTAGTGCCGTGTTCCTAAATGGCAATTTTTCAAAGAACGATTGGTATGTTGATTCGGGAGCGAGTGCTCACTTAACCGCGAATGAAAACTGGATAAAAAATTCCTCGACTGAGCATTCTATCAAAGAAATTGTTGTCGCTAATAAAGAAAAGGTGGCTGTTAAGTGCTCAGGTGACGTGCAGATTGCTACATTGACAGATGACTGTGAATATGACGTGGTTTTTAAAGAAGTTTTATGCGTTCCGAGCTTGACCACGAATCTCTTATCAGTAAGTCAGTTAATAGAAACAGGTAATAGAGTACATTTCACTAATGATGGCTGTCAAATATAAACACAAATTGGTTACCGCAGCTTGTTTGATAAATGGTGTCTACAAGTTAAAAATGCCTGAAAAGTTCTTGGCTGCAGTGATGACCTCAAGTGACATGTGGCAGGTTAGGTCATCTCAATAGTAACTATAACTTATTCAGAAATAAAATGCAGAATGCCGTAGAAGGGCTCACACTCGACAGAAAGGCTGAAATTTCGAATTCGTCGTGCATAGTGTGTTGCGAAGGCAAACAGAGTAGATTGCCTTTCCCACAGGATGACAATAGAAGTGATTATCTCTTGCAGTTCGTTTACATTGGTATATGTGGGCCATTTAACAATATTTCTATTGGGGGCTCAAGATATTATATTTTGTTTGTGGATGACTATAGCCGTATGATATACATCTACTTTCTTAAAAACAAAAGTGTAGCCCTTGATTGTTTTAAAATTTATAAGACAGTTGTAGAGAATCAACTAAATAAGAAAATTAAAAAGTTGCGTACAGATAACGGAAAGGAATATTGCAGTAAAGAATTTGAAAAGTATCTTAGAAATCCAGGAATTATTCATCAGAAGAGCAATCCGTACACGCCAGAACATTGACATAACATAACATAACACGCCAGATCGGAGCATCAAGGTCGTTGTAGACGGTGCATGCTCCGACTACAAGCCTATTAACGCTGGTGTTCCACAAGGCTGCGTGCTATCACCAACGCTGTTTCTTCTGCATATCAATGATATGTTGCAAGCTGGTAGCATTCATTGCTATGCAGATGACAGCACTGGTGATGCTCTATACACCGGCCGTGCCAATATTTCTCGGGAAAACGTCACCGAGTACCGGAACAAACTTGTGTCTGAAGTCGAGTCTTTGCTGGACAAGGTCTCGGATTGGGGGCGACTAAATCTAGTCCAGTTTAATCCTCAGAAGACACAAGTTTGCGCGTTTACCGCTAAAAAGAACCCCTTTGTCGTATCTCCTCAGTTTCAAGGTACTCCCCTTGTTGCCTCAGCCAGTATCGGAATCCTCGGCGTCGACATATCGAGTTGCGTGCAGTTTCGTGGTCACTTGGAAGAGAAGGCCAAATTGGCCTCTAAAAAGCTTGGCGTGCTCAGCAGAGCGGGACAGTATTTCATGCCGGCTCAACGCCTGCAACTTTACAAGGCGCAGGTTCGGCCTCACATGGAATACTGTTCCCATCTCTGGGCTGGGGCTCCCCAGTGCCAGCTTCTTCCACTTGACGGCATCCAGCGCAGAGCGGCTCGAATCGTCGACGACCGAGTCCTTTCCGATCGGCTCGACTCATTGGCACTGCGAAGAGATGTTGCATCTCTTAGCATTTTCTTTCGCATTTACCATGGGGAGTGCTCTGAGGAATTGTTCGGATTAATCCCAGCCGCCAAATTTCACGAACGCACATCGCGGCAGAACTCCCGATACCATCCACACCATCTGGATGATTGGCGGTCCACCACTGTGCGATTTAGAAGATGTTTTCTTCCTCGCACAACTTCCTTGTGGAATAGTTTACCACCAGCGATTTTTCCGGACCGATACGACTTAGGGACCTTCAAGAAAAGAGCCTACTCCTTTTTAAGAGGCCGGCAACGCATCTGCAATTCCCCTGGTGTTGCGGTTGTTCATGGGCGGCGGTAGTCACTTACCATCAGGTGAGCCGCATGCTCGTTCGCCCCCTCTCCTATAAAAAAAAAAAAAAAAGAACAGAACGGACTGGCAGAACGCTGCAACCGTTTGGTGGTAGAAAAAGCAAGATGCCTGCTGTTTGACGCTAGTCTGGATATTAGTTTTTGGGCTGAAGCGGCAAATACTGCTGTATATCTTCAGAATAGGACCGTAGCCTCAGCTTTGAATGGGAAAACTCCATATCAGATGTGGACATTGAGAAAGCCAGATATAAGCCATTTGAGAGTCTTCGGGAGCATAGTAATGATGCATATCCCAAAAGGAAAAAGGCTGAAATGGGATAAAAAGGCTGAGAACTAGTAGGCTATCCAGAAGATGTAAAAGGTTATCGTATTTATATTCCTAGAATAAAAGTAATCACAACCAGCCGTGACGTGATCATAATTGAAAAACCTACACCGGTAGAGAGTCCTGTTCAGATCGAAGAACTACAATCACAGACTGAATCCTCTGAGATGCATTTAGATTCAGTGGGGGACATATCAGATGACATTGAAAGTGAGGAGTACCATGATGGTGATGAAACCTATGTTCCTGATGAAGAAGAAGAGATCTCCTCCTCTAGTGGTGAAAGTGTAATGAGTGTAGTTAAAAAAGGGGAGTGTGTGAGGCGCAGACAGCGACCTGATAGGTTTGGTTTTTCTAATGTTTTTTCTAATTGTTCAAAAGTGATAGTATAATAGATGTCAGTGAACTCTCATTACAAGATGCGTTAAATGGCCCTGAAAAAAACAGTGGTTAGAGGCAGTGCGTGATGAGTTACAATGTTTTGAGGACAATAAGGCGTGGGAACTTTCAGAAGTACCTGATAATAGTACTATAGTTCAATGTCGATGGGTATTGCAAAAAAAAATATGATAGTGAAAATAAAGTAAGGTTTCGTGCCAGGCTAGTCGCTAAGGGCTTTTCACAAAAACGAGGTGTAGATTATACAGAGACCTTTTCGCCTGTTGTTAGACACACAACCCTACGTTTTTTATTTTCACTGTCAGTGCAATTAGGACTTAATGTAACACATTTGGACGTAAAAACTGCTTTCCTTAATAGTGACCTAGAGGAAACTATATACATGCAGAAATCAGATTGTTTTAATTCTCCAGGTAGCAAAAATAAAGTGTTAAAACTTAAAAACGCCATTTATGGTCTAAAACAGGCCTCAAGAGCCTGGAATAAGAAATTACTTAATTGTTTGCTTGAATATGGTTATAAAAAATCAAAGCTTAAACCATGTTTGTATACAAAAATAAATGAAAATTGTAAAACTGTTGTAACGGTTTATGTAGATGATTTATTCATATATTCCAATGATAAAAAGGAATGTACTGATCTCAAGGAAGTGTTGGCAAGTCGGTTTGAAATAAAAGACTTAGGACTAGTGAAACAATGTCTAGGGATGAATGTTAAATTTGATGAGTGGGAAGGATCTGTCACCTTAAGTCAAGAACATTATATTGATAGTTTATTGCATAAATTTAATTTGACAGATTGTAAAACTTTTGATACTCCAATGGATCATAAATTGAATATAAACATCGGTCAAAATGTTCATAATAAAGTACCTATTCAACAGCTTATAGGTAGCCTAATGGACTTATCTGTCTTAACCGGACCAGATATAACTTATTAAGTTAGTTATCTAAGTCAATACAATAACTGTCATACTGATAAGCATTGGGGTTATGCAAAGAGAGTGTTGAAGTATTTGAAAAAGACTGAATCTTATGGTATTAAGTATTGTAATAATGGAATTTCCAATATAGTAGGTTTTGTGGATACTGATTGGGCAAATAATACAATAGATAGGCGGTCTTATACCGGATTTTGTTTCTTATTTTCTAATGGTGTCATATCTTGGGAATGTAGGAAACAAAAGACTGTGGCCTTATCAAGTTGTGAAGCTGAGTATATGGTTATTTCTGAAGCTTGTATAGAAGCAATATACTTGAGGGCTTTGCAATTTGAAATAACTAATAAAATGTATACTTTAACATTATATAATGACAATCAAAGCGCACAGAAGCTGTCGACAAATCCAGTATTTCACAAGAAATCTAAACACATTGATGTGAAATATCATTTTACTAGAGAATGTATTTCAAATAATATAGTCAATTTGAAAAATTTGCAATATTTGCCGACAACAGACATGCCCGCTGGTTTGCTAACAAAAAGTCTATGTGCGAAGAAACATTATATGTTTATGGAAATGTTAAGTGTTTTTAATGTATAAAATGTGTATATGATTATTGAGATAGTGGGGGTGTTATAATGTATCTAAAATAATCATTCATTTTGAGTGGCCTCTGTTGTCACAGTTTGTAAACTCTGCTACATTATCTATGTCATGTCTATTAAAAAAAATTGTTCTCTTTGAAATCACAACGCGGGAAACGCGGTCGTTTTATTAGATAATATGCTCCGGTTTGGCCGTAATAACTCAGTGGCTAAGACTCGTAAATTTCACAGTACGCGAGCAACCCGTGTTCGATGCGTGGCAGTAACAATTAAATTGTTATTTGCAATTTAAGTGGTGTACCACGTGCTCGACGATGAAGGAAAACATTGTAAGTAAACTTACATTCAGAGAAAAAATAGTAATTCGAAAAAATATGTAAAATCCTCCAACACACTAATGTCCTCCGCGCTGCCATTACCTTTCGCTAAAGCCCTCTCAAATATGAGGGAATTGCCCATCAGTAGGTTATAACTTTTGTTTTTACTTAATCAGTTATGTGCATGTTTGGAGCCATTAATAAACGGTTAATACAACGGTAAAAACATTTAACGTTCTTTTGATTATATAACATTGTTTTAATTATAAATTGAATTTAGGGTAATGAAAAAGTGAAGATTTGCACTTTTAGCAAAATCAATTCTAGAAATGATGACGTCAATTTTTTTTCAATAGCTCCAAGTTTACGCACAACTCACACTCATAAATATGCAGATGTGCTTCTTTAGTGGTAAAGGCAGTATTTATTTATTTATTTACACTTTATTGTATAAAACACCTTAGCAAAAGTGTTGTAATCCACAAAAAGCGGACTTGATGAATTTTGACATTAAGTCTTTCCTTGTGCTATAACTATTACAAATATTTGATTTTATGCAATTTATTACTATTTATTATGGATCACATCAGTTATTTACTACATAAACACTTTCTAGAAAAATGTCACTAATATATAACTCTCCTGCCACTCGAGAACTTTTCTTCCCTATTGTTTGTCGATTATTTTATTTATATAAACTGTATAACTAAAATACTCCTGTGAAGTTTATACTTTTCATTTTGTGAATTACAAGTATATAGCGTTTGTTGAGTAGTTTCTTATAAAAAAAATTGAAAAGATTTTTCGTATTATTTTCTTTATTTATGAATATCTTGATTCAGACTGCAAATTCAGCGTTTTATCACTAAGTCGTTTCTTACGACACTCACGGGAAGAAAAGTAGTAACAAGATTCCTGTTTCGAACGTGACAAGGTTCGCCTTGAAAATATATGCTACAATTTATTTGAATCATTTTACCGGCGTTGGGTTGTTGTTGACTCGCTGAATGTTATAAAAATGTGGAGAAATGGAACCGGAAATCTTGCTGCGCCTCTCTTACTCCAAATAATAGGTAACATTGAGCAGAATGACGACAATTATTAGGCCATTTCTGTTTGCAATCATTTGCAATTGTACATTTAGAAAGTTTAGGGATAAAACAATGTATTGTATTAACTGCGCATTAATTAATGTCCTCCAAGCCGAATTTCGGACACGGTGGCCAGTCTCAACGGAGACTAGCCATCTGTGCAAGACTGGATTATATTGCTTGACTGCACGTGTAAGCACAGGTGCACACTCTATTCCCTCACTCTTTAGTCAGATGGGACGGTAAACCGAT